AATTTCTAGTTTGATTTATCATCTAAACTATCATAATCTTTGTTATCATCGCCATCATAGTTCTCTAAATTTATATCCAGCTCTTTTTAATTTTATAAACATAAAGCTTAACCTTTTTTATGATCATAATCTCTACGTGATTTGTTAGATTTTGTAGTCTTTAAAATAACTAAAAATGAAACAGAATGTCCCTCTGTCTCTGTTTCACTTTTTCAACTTCAACAAATACACCTGTTTTAGAAAACATAACTAATGATTTTTCAGTCATTGATAATAAAGTAAACCAAATCAAAATAAAATGATTAGAATATAGATTAAATACTAAAAATAAGATAAGAAAAAATGTTGAGAAAAAAGGGGTAGCAGGTAGCGGCTTTCTTGTGATCGAAATTAAAGGGAAAGTTGACTGTCAACAAAGCAAAATTACCTTTTTCAATTGTTTTACTTTTATCATTTAATCTAACACTAAAATACACTGATCCATTTCATTGAAATGCATTGAAATACTGGCAGTTTGGCGTGCGATTAAGCGGAAAAATCGGCATGTACATTTCTCCGAAACAGGACAAGTCACCGAAAAGCAAATAGGCCGCGCCCATTTGCCTATGTTTTGTATCCAGCTTACGCTCTCTACACTGTAGTGATCAAGTTTGTACGCAACAGCGGCGCTACGGTTCGTCATCGGATGTTAAACTTCAAAGGGCGGAGACTTTGCGTCACGGACAAGCACTGTCAATGATAGGTGGCGAGTCGAGCCACTGGCGACAGGCTGGCGTTGAAAAGGTGACGCAAAGTCTCCGCCTTCGCTGGCGCTGAGCATTCGATGACGAGCCGTACGCAGCGCCGAAGCACCTGCACAGTATAAACTAGGCGCCACTCGTGGTCTCGCAAATCAGACTCTCTCATTGTGGGCCACAATCATTGTGCCTGTGAGCTCACTGTTTTGATCACTCCAGAGTATTATACCACAAAGTTCTTCACTTGCTCCAAAAGACAACGTCTTGGACCGATTGCCGCTAAGCTTGGCTTAAGTTCTATCTACTGAGGCAGCAGGTTTGTGACTATATTTCTATTTACTGACTCTAACAATACTGCTGTACACTGTAGGCACTTTGATTCCTTCTCGGCATCGTTCTCCCACAGTCTGACAGTCTCTTTTGGGAAGAGGTGTTCTCCTGTTCTCTGCATACGACAGTGAACATCGAATTTTGATGGGCAGTCAATTGGCGAAAAGTGACAGCCAACATCAGACCACCAGCGGCCGTAGCTCCCATCAAGCTGGCCACTTTCTTCGTCGTGCTCAAGAAGCAAAAAGTTTGTCGTCAGCCAGTACAGGCTCATCTTCCATTTCTTCTGACCGCTCTGCAAAGACTTCCTCAATTGTAGTTGTCAACAGCGGACCATCTAATTCCTCAGCTGGTCAACCACACAAGCGTCTACCTCAGCTTCAACGCCCACTCATCCCAATCGGCCAGATTCAAGTTAATCCTAGCTTTCTGCATTTATCACCACAGCCGATAATCGATCTCGGTCTTGAAATCGAACAAGAGCTTCGAAAGAACGCCGAGTTAGTCGCACACGAGCAAACCAAACTGGTGGAAAAGATTCGTGACATTGACTCACAAGTAACTGCCAGCTCTGTAACTATCGGCGCTGAAAGGCAACGACGCTTCAACAAAGCCGTCGATAACTTCGGCAAGTTTGACGAGATTGACGCGCTTATTCAGCGTTGCGAAAACGACATCGAGAACATTCTCACGGTGTTTGTACAGCTAAACGACGCTCTTCCCGACAGTTTGTGCTTGGAGCAGTTTGCTCTACAAGTTTAGCTTAAAGTCTTAGCTGTCTTTGCTAAGCGATCTCCCCTCTAATAGGAACTCCGCAAACTGACCACTGGTCGCCTTACTGATATGCTTGAATTTAGTTCCTCCGGAGCTAGCCTTTTTGGATCACCCGTCAACGCATCCGTCGCTGGAATGAATCCCAATCAAGCGAACAACGCCATGTCTGGCTCTAGCATTTTCAGTCAGTTTGCCCGCTCCAACTCCGCCAGCTCGGGATCGGGCAACTCGATGTTTAATCTGCTAAACACTGGGACGGGTACGCTAGGGCCGCCTCCACCCTTAGACATGAATGAATTTCCATCACTTGGAGGCAGCGGCGGGACAATTAATGTAAGTTTACAGCTCGTATTGCAAGTTGTTGTTGTGCTTACAAGTACTGAACTAATCAACTGTTATCTTCTCTCAGTTCTCTCAGTCGTCAACTGCCGGCCGTCAGCCGTACGTCGGCCTACTGAAGGACAATGTGGGCGTCGCTCCAACATCTAATGAGTTTAGTATTCAAAGCGAAGACTTTCCGGCTTTGCCTGGTGCACCCTCTGGCTCTGGCCACTCTCAACGGCCCACCTCGCCCACGTCTGCCTCATTACACGCCGCACTAGCCCACCACTCCTTTGGCGCCGCTGACGTAGTCGTCAACCAGCTGGGATCGTACTCTACGCAGCAAATCTCAGCAGCGGCAGGAGTACTAGGGACGTCGTCGTCGGCGTCCAACTCGGCAGGCACCAGCGGCACAAGTGGCTCTAATGTGAGACCCGATTCCACCGAGTCCAGTCAGACGCAGTCGTCGGGGACGGGTGGCGGTGCCTCGGGCTCAGGCAACAACTCAGGCTCCGGTGCTTCGGGTGCGGCAGGAGGCGGCAAGAAGACATCTGGCGTGCAGCTAACGAAAGACGGCCACCTCGCGAACATTCCGCCAGGCATGCTTACGGACCAGTACGGCATGGCAGGCCTGGTGGCACTTCTGGCAAACACTGAAAGCAACCAAAACCTCTTCTCACTGGCCATTGGCTACGATATCTCCTCGATCAATCTCAATCTCAATTCCAAAGAGTAAGTAAGTGAGCGTATTTATTGCTCACAACTAACGACCCCCCCCCTCTCCCACTGATGCAGACGCATATATCAAACATATCCTGGACCATGGAATGAGAAACAGCTAAAACCCTACGAGATTGGTGCGTGCCTTTAGTTTCATTTCCCGTTGTTTATTCCCATGACTGACTGACACTGATTTGTCGCAGATTACCCAGTTCCGTCTGAGTACTTGGTTCACCACAATATTCGCGACAAGATCTCGGAGTTCAAGGCCCCCACTTATGGTGACGATTTACTCTTCTTCCTCTTTTACTTCTTCGCCGGCGAGCAGATGCAGGTGTACGCGACGAGAGAGCTGTAAGTGTGATTTTACACAGGACTTTCGGATTCAAACATGCTCACTGACTTTATTTACACTTGAACGCACACAGGTACAGCCGTGAATGGAGGTTTCACAAGGACGAAGGCGTCTGGATCCGCCGAATGAACAGTCATATGGAGAAGAACCCCAGCGGCACCTATGAGCGAGGGTCGTACATCTACTTTGATCCGATCAACTGGATGAAGATGCAAAAGGAGATGACCGTCGAGTATGATCGCCTCGAGTCGCAGCCGAGTGGGTTCCAATAATAATAAAAAAACTAGCAAACTCTTCAGGCTTACTTATTTGATATCGAACTGCCTGCTTAGCGGAAGCTAAATTAAAAACACCAACTTTCAATCGTTCGTATTTGAAATCATTTTGCTACACTTGATTCTCCTCAACACCTCCATCTCCTCCACCGCCTGCAAGTATATATTATAAAGACCAAGTCACGCCATTCTCCTTCTCGCATTGCTCCTCTCTAAGCTTATCTTGTTTGTAAAGTGTATTCTGCCTCGATATTATACTCTCTCTATTAAAAGTTCCCGAATGCTTATCTTTCTCTCTCTTGTTCCTTTAAAATATATTTCTTTAATCACGAAACCTGCTTTTCAGTTTCATTGGAACAGTAGTGCACAGCTTTGAGAAAGAGTGGTGGAAATAAACACAATCAAACACAAAACGAACCAAAAGAGTTTGGTGGCCACGTTGGTGTGCTAACAATAAATTAGTGGGAAGAGAGGTGTACAGTAGTTCGACAGTGTTTCATGACANTAACACAATCAAACACAAAATGAACCAAAAGAGTTTGGTGGCCACGTTGGTGTGCTAACAATAAATTAGTGGGAAGAGGTGTACAGTAGTTCGACAGTGTTTCATGACAAAAACTGGTTACTTGGAGACAAACTGGTGGATTGCCGATTGCCATTTGCTGTTTAGCAGTTGAGAGCCACGCAGAGTGGTGGCCACAGTACCGGTGGGACGTTGGAACTCGGCGACGGTTAAGCTCCAGAGAACGACGTCAAGCAGGCTAGGCGATGACTGCTGCAGAAGAAAGACCGTATCGGAGAGATTAAAAATGGTCGATCCGAGTTGTTCTATGATGGCTTTGTCGGAGGCCAGTGTGGATGCGTTTGTCAACAGTGACCAGATGGGCTCAGATTGGCCTGCTTGATCGGCGTTGAACAGCTGAAGTACTGCTCGGGCGATGTTAAATTCTCCTTCGACGAGCTTCTTTCCCGCCTGAAAGATGGCTTTGGGGTGAGTCTTTGTTGCCGTGGAGGTGACAATGAAGGTGACGATTAGAGGGAACTGCGATCGGGTGAGATACTCGCCAGATGAAGTAAAGGTAAAGTTAAGTATGCGCGCCAATTGACTTTTCAGAGCATTCACACGAGAGATCACGGCAGGCTGGCGAACTACAGAAGAGTGCAGATGCAAGTTCGCCATCACCGGTGTGCTTCCTTTGCGCAGTGCTGCGACTAAAGCGAAAAGCGAATAGGGAACATCGTCAATGCTGAACTGAATCACCAGATCTTCATCAATGGTTGCGGCGATTTTAGGTGGCTCAAGTGTGGCAGTGGCAGCTCCACTTTGCTGGCTACTTTGACGCTCCAAAAGCTGCTGTTCCAGCTGATTCAGACGACAAAGCAGAAGCATCTGACGTGAGAGGACATCCTCCAGGGTGCTCTTAATGTTCACATCATTCAGATCAATATCAGTGGGCAGTAGTGGAAGCGGCAAAATGGAGGCCATGTTGTTGTTGTTTTCAGTCGTGGTTGTGAGGGTGCTCGTGCTGTCCGTGGTCTCGTAGTACGGCGCCACGCTGTACATGCAGCTCGGCAAGTAAGACGACTGAAACGGCTTGTCGCCGCACACTTGCGAAGGAAGGGAATACATTTACCCAAACGAAAGAGAGCGAAAAGGGAGAGAGAGAGAGAGAGAAAGAGGATAAGTTGACGATCTGTCGGCGTGTCTGTCTGCTGGACGTGTTAATGGTTGACGTCACCAGGATCAGGCTGTCTTCGTGGCTTCCCTTCAAAGCTCTTTCTTCTGGCCTTATCTCCCAGGCGGCAAGCGGTTCGCTGTTCAGAGCGTCTTAAAGCAGACACCAGGTCAGTGTTTCATGAGGCGAGTCAAGTGTTGCGCGATACGGAGGGCTTTTCTCTGCCACACTCTGATTGCGATGATGATAAAGAAAGTAGCAGGTAGCGGTTACTTTAAAATTCCTCAGGAGAGAGAGTGGGAGTGTGAGGAGAGCAGGCAATCATCAGCAAAGGCCAATCTTATCGGCGACAAGAGGAGAGCTGCTCCAGCGGCGTGTGAATACGGCAGACAATAGCCAGGCGCACGTGGAATGCTAAAGAGTCAGCGGTGACTCTCTGCGGTCAGAGAGGCGGCACTTGCTCAGCAGGCAACAGTACACAATGCCCCGCCTTCGGCTGTGCTTTACCGAGCGCAATAAGTGTTCCGGTATTTCATCAGAGTCTAGCACTATCTTTCCCTTACCTGCTCCCATCACCGGTGAGGTCACCGAAATGAGTGCTCAATTTTGCTAATCAGTGATCTGATTGAGCATTTTAAAAATGATGCTTCAAAACGGTGATTGCACATATTAAATTGGAAGAAGGGCGACAGATGGCAATACGTTAACATGTTTGAAAGTTTTTGCGCCATCCGACACCGAGGGAAGGGGACTGCACTTGGCTATTTATTCCTCATTTAATGAGGTCGTCAAAATTGAGAACAGGAGTTCTATATTTAGAAAAAGAGTTTTGCAATTCTTTAATTCTTTCACGACTTGTAGATATGAGCATTGTGCTAAGTTTTAAAATATGTTCACGAAGCCACATTTTTTCACAAGTTTTTTTAATTTTAGGCATGCATATGATGAAAACAAGTACACAAGTGAAAACATAACAAACAAGATAAGCCAACAGGTGAAACAAATGAAAAGTGATCTTCTTCTTTTCTGAATAAATAAAATATATCAACACTGCTTGAGAAACAGATGCCTATCGAGGATGCATGCAGAGTCTACTGAGCATGAGAGGTGACTAAAGGTGACAAGGGATAACAAGGCAATAGGGAAATAGTATAATACAAAGATAGAGGACAAAAGGGGCCAAAGTGGATAAAAAAGAGATATTTGACGAGGCTAACCAGAGGGTAATTTGAAAGGCGGGGTGAAGGCTACAGCGGTTGAAGGTGACAATTCATTGGCGACTCCTTCGGGAAGGGGCAGATGTTGATGTTACCTGGCAGAGTGGTAGTGAACGGTGTTCGGTGCGCCAAAGGTGCCATCAGGAATCAAGGCGAGTCAGTGAATGAGAAGTCGGTTGATGGCCAGGGCGGCGAGAGTGGTGAAGAGGCCCAGAGAGGCGGTGAGAGAGGGCGCACCGTTGCAGCCATCCTCGAAGCACTGGCAGACATGGGTGGACACTTGCGGCGTCTTCGTCATGTAGCACGGCAGATCGCCCTTGTCGAAGCCACAGCCCCGAATGACCCGCTTCTGGTCCTTGATGGTCTGGATTTGCTTGCGGCAGAAGTACGTCAGCCCGTCATTGGGACACTCGACGTAGAGGTCTGCCAGACAGCTGGGAATGCTGGTGTCGTTGGTCACCGGACCGGAGGGCACCTGTTCGCAGAAGTTGTTCGTCTCTGAGTTGCACTTCCAGCACTTGATGGCGAAGGCTGCCGGCAGGCAGATGGCCGCCAGAATGGTCAACAGGAGTAGAGTGGCTCGGCTGGAAAACATGCTGACGAGACTGCTGCTGTGGAGGGGAAGATGAAAATGAAGACGAAGGCAACGGAAACACCGAGCACACACTGAAAAATGAGAGTGAAGGAGAACAGAACGGCACCTCAGCGGCAGACTGATTCACAAGTGAGGGCGAGGTGGGCGCTTTTCAATCAAAGTCGCCAAACACTTTGACGCCAGCAGGCTTGCTGAAGACAGGCTTGACGATGGTGATAAGAAAGAGAGCGTTGATGAGCACCGTTGATAGTCTGGCCACCAAAACTGGTGCCCTCTGCCTGACGTATGGCACTAATCAAAGCAGTCTTTTGTACAGTGTCCGATCCTCTGAGGCACACCACACTAATCACAATCACGGGCTGTTGTTTTTACTCTTCTCCACACTTTTTTCTGCCTTTGATGTCACCAGATGTGGAAGATGGGAAGCTGCTTCGATTAGATGGATGGATGGTCTTCTCGATGCTGCGCCTGCTACTGCCTAAATCACAATGATTACCACCACCAGACTGAAGATTGACCTAGAAAGAGAAAAAGGGAGTGAAAAGTGTATTGAAGAGCCTACTAGTAATCAGCGTCATCGGTCATGTTGATAAGCACTCTCTGACGCTGAAGCGCATCCATTGGAGGCAAATGAAGACAAAGTGAGCACTTCTTATCACCAGCATCTGTATCTGCATTAGCGTGAAGACATACAAACTGGTGGTAAAACCAAAACGATGGATGATAGCAGACGACAGTGATAATAATGACTGTAGAATTGTTGCAACACAATTGATGAAGGGTTCTGCAGTGGATGCGGCCAGCAGATCAAAGTCAACGTAGTCTTGAGATGCTGTCTCTGTGAATAGGTGCACCGACTGACTAGCACTAAAAGTAAAATTGGCAGTTGCTGGTAGAATGCTCACTTTTGTACGACCTCGAGGCACACAAAGAGACGTCTACTTTTTGCACCGACTTTTTGCGTCTGATGCCGCCAACTGTTTGGCTGAAGTTGCTACTGCTGCTGCTGCACCACGTACGGCTTGGCTCATCGAACAGTGCAGACAGAGGACGTCGAAGAGCAGTGTTAAGTCTTCAGCGATTGCCACCACCATCATTTTCTCTGTCCAAGTGCTGTTTCTGTAGCCTGCAGTCTTCATAGTCTGTGCTTTCATCTCCTCTTCTCTCTCTCTCTCCCTCTGTCTGCACTCTGCTGCAGTCTTCGAAGTCAAGTGAGTTTAGGCAAAGCTGCTGCCAGAGCAAAAGGAACAGTCAAACCGAGGTAGAGACAAGTGGAGTCGGTGCCGTTTTTTCTCTTGCTGCCGCTTGACTTTGTGCCGGCAATGAAACAGAGAAAAACGGTGGGCCAATGCCTTTCAGGTCGGAGGAAGGAGTGTGTTTCTTTCACAGCTGTCCGCCGGTAAGTTTAGTGGATCACTGGCAGTGCCCACTTCCACTCTGGTAATCGTCATTTTGGCCTGTTTCAGGGCACAGCTCTCGTACGGTCTCAGCAGTGTACTGTACGGTAGC